TACTCTTCTTCTTCTCTCTCTCTCTCTCTCTCTCTCTCTCTCTCTCTCTCTCTCTCTGCACAACGCGTACATCCTTCCGCGAAAGGCCGAGCCGCGAGGGAAGCAGGTGAAAATTAATTGTACGGGTTACCGGCTCGAGTGGCAAAGGAGCACACGGGTTTGCCTCGCCACGGTGTTGTCTGTGCGCGGTGCGCAAAGTGCGCCTCGCCGCGTACCCGAGAGGACGTGTCGATCGATTTTGCCCTCTTCTCCCCCCTCGAACCGTCCGTCCATCCGTCCGTCCGTCCGTTCGTCCGACCGTCCTCCTCCTCTTCCTCCTCCTCCTCCTCCTCCTCCTCCACCTCTTCCTCCACCTCATCCTCTCCCTCCGCCCCCTCCTCATCCTCATCCACCTCTTCCTCCTCCTCCTCCATCTCTCGCCGCTCCTCACTCCTTTCTCTTTCACGCCTTCGTCCTTCCCCTTTGCGCGACTCTCCGTTCGTTAATCGGCCGCCGTACGTCCGACCGCGTCGTCTCTTTCTCTCTCGACGAGCCACCGATATCGAGATCGATAAGGTGTATCCGGTGACGTCCGCGCGCCACCGCTATCTTTTCGATCTCTGTGCGCGCTCGAAATATTTTCGTAACGCCGTTTAACCTCGATAACGGTACAGACCGCACTCTTGCCTTTCCTACCACCAATTTTATCGATAAACATCGTATGTAGTTTATATATGTACAAACGCGACGATTATGAATACCGAGAATATATATACGAGTACCTAATACGATTGGGAGATTTGTTTGTGTGTGTATATATATATATATATATGTATATACGTATATATTTATAAACGTAATACGTATAAATTTGAAAATGTTTGCTTATTTTTTCCTTATAGGTTAATGATTAGCGTCTTCTCTTTATTCTCCTTTTGGTTCTATCGTTATCGTCATCGATGTTCGACTTTGATTGATCCTCCCTACCCTCTTCATCCCGCCATTCGATTCGAACGGTTCGCCGCGCGTTACGTAAAACGCGAACGCGTTTTTTCCCTCTAACCGGTGCGCGTTCCCCTTTAACGTCCGCTTATCGTGCGCACACCATGTTTTATGTATATGTATGTATGTGTGTGCGTGTGCGCGTGCGAGTGGAAGGAGAGCCCGATATATTTTGGGGTACGATTATTTCTGGAACGAGCGAAAAATCCGTAGTATTCGAGGTATTCCCAGTTTCCCCATCTATGAACGTACAGGTAATATAACGTCGTTTTCGTATTCTCGCTTGGTCGTCATTGTGCGTCCTCCGTCGTGGCCGTGTCGATTCGAGCAAAGTGGGACTCGAAGAAGGCCAAAGCTGGCGTGGCGTTCGAGCGCAAACGTGAGCGTGCGTAGTCTCGCGCGCGCACAAGCGCACAATAATTATCGGCAGGGTAGGGCGACTCGTTCGGCCGCGAAAAAGAAATCGACGTAGGTGCCGGTCGCGCCGGTGTGTCCGAGCGTGTATTTACCACGGTAAATACGCCGCCGGAGGCACGGTAAATTTATCCGCGAATTACCGCGGCGTTCCTCCTTATACACTCGCGGCTCTCTCTAGCTCCGTAACTCTGCCGTCGTTCGCGTACGGATTTTAGGCCGTGCTCATAAATCCGGCTCTTCCCTAGGGGCCGAGCTGTACAGGAGAGGAGGGAAGGTCGGATTTAAGGGTTTTGCCACAGGTTCGGTTCACTCTCTCCCTCTTTCTCTCTCTGTCTTTTTCCTGTTCCATTCCTCTCTGTTCCTCTATATTTTAGAGACGAGAGAGAGATCCTAGAATCGCGGGAAATTAAACGGGCGTTCGGGACACGGGCGAAAAAATCGCGTCGCTCGTAAATTTCACGACGACCAAGCGAGCGGCCAACCGTTCGCCTCACCTCGCCTCGTCTCGCCACTCCTCGCTTTACCTCACCTCGCCTCACTGCGCCAAGCCTCGTTCCCTCGCTGCTGCTGCGAACAGTCGGCCGACCGGAAACTCGGACACGTTGAGTCTCGAAGACGGCGATCGCTTGCGTGTGCACAAGATGTATATATAAGCGAACTAAAAGTATCATGCAACGCGCTAAAGAAAAAATAGATATAAAGTATAGAAAAATCTATATATATATATATCTTTATTCTTTTTCATTGTTATCCTATCTATATCGCATCGCGTGTTCGTAAGGACGAAGAACCTTACTCGTGCTAGACGATGACGACGACGACGACGACGACGACGACGACGATGACGACGACGACGAACGACGACGACGACGACGACGATCACGAAGACGAAGACGACGACGACGATGACGACGACGACGACGATGGGGACGATGGTTGAGAGAACCGGCAAGGGTCGTGGACTTGTAGAGGGGTTTTAGTGGATAAGGGCACGGAGGGGTAAAGAACGAGAGAAGCGCGGTTCGACAGCACACCGTCGATGGAAGGAACATACCGAGGGACGAAAGGAAGAAGAGGACGAGAACGCGAAGGGGCAGGCGGAAGGGCGGCAATGGGACGAGAAACAAGGGGTAGAGGAGTGAAGAGGGGAAAGGGGATCGAGAAGGGACGATAGGTAGCGTAGAAGAGCCAAGAGTATAGGCAAGACGAGAGGCACGATGGGGATAAAGCAAGACGCACATCGCAGCATGGCAAAGCATGGCAAGGCGAGGCACAAGCTGGGCTGCGGCGGAGTTTCACGGGAAGAGCGGGGCGGGCAGAGAGGAAGGGCCGAATGGCGCGGTGCCGTACGGTGAGGGGAAGTCCGGGCAGTGGGGAGAGAGGGGAGGGGGCAGAGAAGACGGCGTCGCGAGTCCGCGGAAAGCCGGCGGCGACCACCACCGCAGTTGAGCGTGACGATTCGTCGCGAGAGCATCGTGCGTTGCTGCTTCTCGCGACAATCCACGTGCGTTTGTCCACGTGCGCTCTCGTGTGTAACGTAGTGTACCGTGCGCACACATCGAAACAGTTAGCTGTGAGCTGTGGAACTGTGTAGATCGTCAACGATCACTACACATAGGCGGTCGACAGGCGAAGAGCGACGCGACGCGACGCGCGCCCCTAAAAGCAGTTATACGCGAGGTAGCCAGCGACGATAGACGCAGCGCACATACAGCGACGGTTCAGTCGAGGTCGATCCACCGTCAGGTGATGATCGTCGGTGGTCACGGTCTTTCATGCGACTATTATTGGGTGATATATTCTATCGGTGAATCTTGGGAATTGAACGCGAGGCGCGCCAGTGTGCTATCTGTTTTGCAATCTGTAGAACACGCGTCATTAAAATATAGTTCAGGAATTATTTGAAATTTTCTTGGATCTTTTCATCGATCTTGTTGATCGTTCACTTCAAGTGAAGAAAAGAAAGTGAATTATAAGAACACAGTGGAAATTGATAAGTGTGTTAGCGTGAGGCTTCTTATGTGCCACGCTTAGCACGATTTATTGAGTGTTTTCAAGAGGACGAAATGCGATTGAGAAGTCGCGCGAAATACGCTGAAGATTATTCTACGAATTCGAACGCTGTGTTTTCGTGGTGCGAGTAACATCGCGTGGAAAACATCGAATATTTATCCATTATCGATTATTTATCGAACGGAAATCAAGAACGACAATTGACTGAGTGAAATTTCGGCAAATCGTCGAAAATTTCACTGTGTTTTTGCAGAATTAATAAAAGGATTTACGGTGTGAAAAAATAATTTTCAACCTGGATCTAAGGACGACAAATCTGAGCATTTACGTGGGCGACCCTGCTCGGGTGTTAGACGTTCGCGAAAAATTGCGTGGTAGGGATCGCAAAGTTAGCAAAATAGATCCTAAAGTGATTGACGAAGGCATCACGACGACGGAGGACGGCGGTTACGAGGATCGTTTGCGGGAAGGCGCGAAAGATAGTCGTCTCGCTGGAATGAGGGGCGAGTCGGCGCGTCCTGGTAAGCGTCCTTTAAGGGCGCTTTCCGCTTCTGAAAAGATGGATGCGATACAGAGAGTTCACGAAGGAGAGAGTAAAGCATCGGTCGCTCGAGATATTGGAGTGCCAGAATCGACATTGCGTGGATGGTGCAAATCCGAACACAAGATCAGGGGCATGGCAAGGAATTCATCAACACCGGATAGCGAGGCCCACTCACCTGCTTCGTCTTCTGGTGCGAATGTTGCAGCTGGTAATTTGGCCGGTGGATCGGCGAATCTGTCAAGCGAGGATGAGGGTCCTTGCGTGAAGAAATCAAAAATAGATCAACAAACGTCGGTAAATAGCGCGGGCACGTCGTTTGTCGGTAGTGATGTTTGCGCCGATACGGATGGTAAACAGGACAACAAGCCGAAGATCGATTATGTAGGATTGATGACCAGCATGGCGGGCATGAGACCCGAAAATAGTTCACTTCTTCTGCAACAGCTGGGCCTGTTGTCCGGCGCCACCGGTACGCTTGCCAAGAATTTGTTGAGCATGTCACCGGCTTTATCACACGGCAGCACCGTCGGTCTCGTCGAGAACGGTCTTCAGTATACAAAGAACACTGCAAACGCGTGTATTACGAACTTGAACAGTTTGAATAGTAGTAACAAGAGGCATAGTATTTCGGCGATTGCGCCAACACAAATGGATTCTGTAGTCGCAAAATCGTGCAGCACACGAAAGAGTCTGCCACCTGCAGCGGAAGCGCCATCGACTCCGGTTCCCGCGTCCCCTAGAAAAACGAACGAGAACAACAGTATTCAAAGATCAACGAACAAGCCTAAAAAGGACAGCAATGTGAACAGCGGCAACAAGAAGGTGGACGAGGCGTTATGGCTATGGCTGACGCAGCAGCAACAGCTGCTCGGTCAACAGTCGGCGAGTTTCAACCCGAGCATCAATCAGCAGGATGGCTCATGGTTCTGGCAATGGTACAAGCAGTGTAGCTTCCCACTGATAACACCGACGCCGCTAGCGCCTAGTCCGGTGGCTAAGAAATCGCCGAGCAAAGCAAGAGCCATGCTTGACAACGTGCTTTGCAATAATAATAACGAGAATGTGAAACGAAGTTTAACCATGGACGAGGAATCCGCTACTGCAGCGGAAGACATCGAGTCAACCGACGTGCCGAGTAGTACAGAAGAAGCGATCGAACACGGCGAGAAGTTTTTCAAATGGTTGGACAAATGTTCTGAACCAGCGGTCACAAGGCTTCAAATCATACAATTCAAATATCTATTGGACAATTTGAAAGCGTGTAGGAAGAAGTCGACTAGCTTGAAACAAAGTAGAAAGTAGGCGAGGAGAGAAGAGACAAGCTGTGATGCTAAATATATATTCTTAGGAAAGAAGAGTGTATTAACCGCGACTCATGAGGTGGAAAAAAATAGGTAGAATCGAACAAAGACAAACAAACAAACAAATGATGAAATAAAGATGGAGAGAAAATAAGAAAAGTTGACTTGTTGTTTCTCTCCTTATACTATTGTACACAATGTACAATTTGTTGATCTCTTATCGTCGAATTCCTTCGTGTTCCATCAAAA